CAATAGGAATTTTAGAAGTCCTTAATGTATACCTTGTAGCATGTTTACTTAGAGTAGAAATCTGAGATATATTATTCTGAGGCCTGCTTTGTGTTTTCTATGACCTATTATCTCTTATATAAAAGGCCTGTGGCTGTCATGCCATAAGTCCGTCGTGACCAAATGAGCAGTGGCTCTCGCAGCGGACTGGGTGGGGCGCGAGCTACTAGCAGGGAGAGCTACAAGCAGTGGAGGGTGGGGCACAAGCTACAAGCAGTGGTGGGCGGGGCTCCTAGCTGAGGCAAGCAAAAGCAAGCTACTCATGCATGATTTCGTGTACACTGGGCCTCTAGTAAAATTATAAAATAAATATTTTTTTAAATATATTTTATTGGTTTTTTACAGAGAGGAAGGGAGAGGGATAGAGAGTTAGAAACATCGGTGAGAGAGAAACATTGATCAGCTGCCTCTAGCACACTCCCTACTGGGGATGTGCCAGCAACCAAGGTACATGCCCTTGACCAGAATCGAACCTGGGACCCTTGAGTCTACAGGCTGACACACTATCCACTGAGCCAAACCGGTTAGGGCTAAAATAAATATTTTTTAAAGAGAATCAACAAAACCAAACATAGAATTTAATCCCTTTGAAAGTGCTCTGAGCTGAGAAGTGGTGAGCCTGATTTGTGGCATGGTGATCAGACACCTCAAAACCTCTAGTACCAACCTCTAGTGTAGTTGTGACAGCACAACAGCTGTCAATGGGATTAAACTTGAGTTAATGTTTCTGTTTCAGATCATCAGCTACCTCATCAGCCTTCGAAGTAGCCACACTGATGGTCCAGAAAGGATGGAGACAAATAAACACCAAGTTCTGAAATGGATAAGGGTTCTCCAGCTGGCAACCATGGCCCGAAATTTCCTAATCACAACAGAATAAAAATAAACACAAATAAAATCTATGGCTGGGAACTGAAGCTAGATCATCTCATTTAAGGCTTAGCAGTTGAGTGAGACAGTTATGAGGGCATCTAGAGAAGAGGGAAGAAGAGGACACTGACGTCTGCCTTTATAATGTTGCCCCCAGTCAGCCCTGAGGTGAGGAAAAGGGGGTATCTGTATCTTTATCTGTATCTGCACTGCCACCTAAATGCTTACTTCTGCCCTTCTTTCCTTAAACTGTCAGGCTCACCACACAGCTCAATAGAATCAGGTATAGAGACAAGGAAGTGTTATTTCTACTCAACCAATCCTGACCGGAACTGAGTCCATTTGAACTGAGAAAGCAATTACTTCACAGGCGTCCCTGTGAAGAATGGGATTCTTCATCATGCCTGCGCCTCTTCAAGGCCTCATATTGCCATTACACGGCATGTGAGTGCAAGGGAATGCTAGAAGTTGGCTCTCGGGAACGTGCAAGAGGATTCTGGCACCATTAAAGAAGTGAGAACTTCTGATAGGAAGCTGCATAAAGGAGTTTAGGGAAGGAAGCGTGTGACATTCTATGTGATGTCCTATAGTTCCCTATTTTCTTGTATTTGCTTGTCTTACCTTGGTGCCTGAAATAAGCAACTTAAAAAAAGTTATCTCTTTTTCTTTCACTGGCAAAAGTCTTAAAACCTAAAATTACTTTTCATTTTTCTCTTTTCTTATTTAATCCTCAGTCTGAGCCCCTGTTTCTATTTTTATTTGTTTATACTCAGCTCACTCTTAAAGGTCTAATTCAACTGTCATATCCTCTTAAAATGATTTTCTCTGGGCTCTGAGCTCCTCATGCACAGAAATGGTGAATGTTGGCTTATTGTGACTCTCAGGCATAACACAGTGCCTGGTACAAGACGGGTATTCACATACCTGCCCCATTACTTTCTCATCTTCATTTTTATGTTTATAATATTTCAAACTACAGTACTATCTGTTCATGCACATCTCCATGTCAAACTCCATGAGGTAAAACTTTCTTCTCTCTTTACCCAAATCCTTGTCAAAGTACTAATGAAACTGAGGGAGGAAAAGGCCAGAGTTTGCATAATTGATGCAGATGCTGGCAAACTAGACCTTAATAATCAAAGTAGATACTCATACTAGGTATGTATTGGTCCGATCCTATGCAAACTTAAAAGAGAAACTACTTTTAAACAGGTCATTCTGGATAAAAAAAATGGATAACTAAAGTATGTACAATAAGCATAATGTGAAACAGTATTGTTAGTTTCAACATCAAGGATTAATATGGCAAAAGTGTGTTCTGCTGAAAAGTGTGTTTTTTATTTATTCCAGAAAGTCCATATTTCACAAATACCCTTTTCTGGGAATATATATATATATATATATATATATATATATATATATATATATGATATTTATCTTATAGACAAAGATTTAATTTCCAAGAACAGGGCACCTTACATCATCTTATTTTATATCAGCTCTTACTTCTTCATATCTCAAAGTAAAAACATTCTTGAACCTTATCTCTCTTATCTCCTATTGGATTACAATTTATTTTTTCTCTTTGTTTTACAAATGTTTCTTTTCTGACTTAATAACCTTACTCGATAAAGGGTCTGAGGTTTCTCCAATCCTACCTAAAATCAAATTTTCCTCAACAGTACATTGCTCCTCAATTTAAAAAAAAAAAGTTATCTCTTTTCTTTCACTGGCAAAAGTCTTAAAACCTAAAATTACTTTTCATTTTTCTCTTTTCTTATTTAATCCTCAGTCTGAACCCCTGTTTCTATTTTTATTTGTTTATACTCAACTCACTCTTAAAGGTCTAATTCAACTGTCATATCCTCTTAAAATGATTTTCTCTGGGCTCTGAGCTCCTCATGCACAGAAATGGTGAATGTTGGCTTATTGTGACTCTCAGGCATAACACAGTGCCTGGTACAAGACGGGTATTCACATACCTGCCCCATTACTTTCTCATCTTCATTTTTATGTTTATAATATTTCAAACTACAGTACTACCTGTTCATGCACATCTCCATGTCAAACTCCATGAGGTAAAACACATGCCTCTGTGTATGTCTTAGTCGCTACAGTGGACACTTCTTGGTAGGTGTGTGGCACTCCATATATATTGTATGTGGGAGTGCCGCATTGGAATTTATTTTCCTTCTCAAGACATTAAAGAAGTAGCCTAGGCCCAGTAAGTGAAAAAAAAAAAAAAACATATGGAAGGACAGGGCACAAGATGATGTTCTTGTAAGGGTGGATAGACTAATGAGCATGCACATTTTGTTCTGTTAGGTAGGAGGAATAGAGTCATGAGTTAATAAGTGACCATGCATGTCATTCATGGGCATAGAGTAGACTTGTATACCTCATCAAATGAGGAGAGGAGAATACTAAGAAACAGGGAGTCTCCATAACATTATTTTTGTTTTCTTGGATGCTTTGTCAGAGGCCTGAGAAAATTGAACACTACATAAAATATGTATTGAGTAGCATGTGCACTGAAACTCTACTTCATACAATTTACACACACACACACACACACACACACACACACACACACACACACCGTCTATTTCATACACCTGCTATATGCCCCTTGGATTCACACCAGAGGTAAATGGAGTTACTGCTATGAAAGACACTGAAAACTGCCAACCAGTGTTCTAGTCTTGCCTCTGATTCTAATTTAATGTGTAGCTCTAGGAAATTAACTTAACCTCACAGCCACAGTTGTTATTCTTTAAATGATGACATAGATAAATGCTAGAGATCTGTGATTCTAAACATGCCCATGCATATAGAAACACATGGGACTTAAATCTCTCTATAGATCCCACATATCAAAAGAATGGATTTCTTTTTCTTGGTGGTTCAAACCATTCTATAAAATCATTCCCCATAGCTTTCACAGCCTCTGACACAGCAGAGTTACCTCTTTATAGGAAAATGCTGAGTGAGATAGAAACATCCTGATGCACCCCCACCACCTGCCACTTCCTGTACCCCTACCCTCCCCCCCCCCCCACACACACACATCTCTTTCCGAGGAGAGAATGAGGATTTTAAAAACAATTTTACAAAATATTTTACAATTTCATTTAAAACTGATCTAAATGGCAATTGCAACTTTTAAATGCAGGACTCTTTTATTGATTTCTTCCTATTAATTTGATAACAATAAAAAGAGGATTGAAGGGAAGGCATGAGGAAGAAGCAGAAAAAAAACAGGGCTGTTGCATGCAATTTCTAGCTCCTGAGTCATTCCACTCTTTAGCACAGCTAAAGTCACATGATCAAAAATAATTTAAAATGTGAACACCTTATACAATATCGACTATTTTTAATGGCCACAGTCCTATCCTCACAAAGCCACGAAGATCAGAGGAAAATCCATTTCTCAGCAATTAATTTGTTTTCAGTCTACTCCTTACATCCATACCGGAGGGAGAGGGAAGGTCTGTATTATCATTCCAAGTCTATTAAACACATTACATAAATCTTCCATTGATGTGGAAGAAAGACTTACATATTTTTTTTTCTATAAAGGAAAATAACAAACAAAAACAAATAAGCCATAGCATCATTACCGGCAGGAAATGTTCAGAAGGCCCTTAGGCTCAGGATGTTGGCATGCCTCTGAGGCTGCTATCAGAAGGCTCCGCTCCGGGCTTCAGCAAAGCCACTGCCATGTTAATCTGCTTCATTACATCTCTGCAATTTGTTCACCGCATTAAGGAGCAGTATTTCCCTATTTCAAAGTGAAGGAAGGAGGCAGACCCATCTTTCACTTTGAAAGCTTTACCTTCAAAAGGCACACACGAATGGCACAGATGGACACTAAAGGCCAGAAAACGGAAGGATCATTAAAATACAGCATGCTAGCGTTGGAGTTCATTTCAGTCTAGGAAGATTTAAAAACCCAGCACAGCTAGAATTAGAGCTTTTAAATCCTCTAGATCTGAATCTAAGTTTACAAAGCACACATCTTGCTTTCAATGTTTTCATTAACATAGATAACAATTCTTTGATAGGTCAAAGATAGAATCATGTTGGCTTACCTGAAATAAAGGTAATTGTAAATCATAGCACAGAATCCATATGTGTGTTGAAGAGTCTCCAAAGCAGTTCTTCAGAATTTTGACTAAAGCAGAAAGCAAAATCTTATATGTGTTCCATCATCACTAAAAAATAAAAAACAAGAAAGGATGACCACAGCATCCTCTCTGTTTCTGCCTTAGCGTTCCGTTCTGACACTCACTCGATGGTATCCACTGTCTGTTAGAAAGCAGCATGCTAAATTGAAATGAATAAATATATAAATAAATATAAGGCAGCGTCTTACATGACAGCGCCATCTCCTGGCCAAAAGTGGAACCATATTCAAGATCATTTGGCAATGGCACATCTTGCAGGTTTAAGTGGTGTATAGCTCATAATTCCACTGTATTTGAGATAAACTACCTTAAAATTAATTGTAAATTAAACATTTAAGAAGCATTAGAGTATTAATTTTTAAAATATGTAATCCTACTTTTAGGATTTTGGGTTTTTTTTATTTAGTTAAATTTACTTACCTTATATTTAAATGGAAGCTTTTCATACATCATTAAAACCTTCATGCTTCAAATGTAGTCCTGGCTGGTGTGACTCACTTGGTTAAGCACCATCTCACCTGGTCATACAGGAGGCAACCCCTCAAAATTTCTCTCTCACATTGATGTTTCTCTCTCTCCCTTCCTTTCTCTCTAAAATCAATTACAACAAGCTTAAAAAAAATAGCTTCATTCTTACCTTAAGACTTATTTAACTTTCTTTACAACCTGAATGAGTATCATGTAACTACTATAAAGTAATTCTGTATGTCAAATTTGTCTTTACTGGGTACCTCTTTGAGGAGAAGTTGTATAAGTTCTTGTTTCTAGAGAAATTCTGAATTATGCTGTTATTGTTTTTATTTGGGGGGATGTTGAAGGGTTAAAGTCAATACAGGACGATGAAATTACTAAAAAAAAAATAATAGAAAATCTTTAATCAGTCCCAGCTTTTAATGACTTCAAAGCATACAGATATCAAATTACACCCTATGTGAAATTTGATAATTGTTGTATTCTATAGCAGGTAGTTATACCCTATTGGGGGGATTAGAGAAAACTTAAGTTATAATGAGAATGCGTTTGGTAAATAACGCTAGTTAACTGAGAATATTTACTATGTACTCAATAATATATTTTTAAATTACTTTTTTATGGTAAATTGTGAAGCCCTGGTTCACTTTTAATTTTTGAAATAAAAAGATAGTCTTTCACTTTTTTACAATACCGTTTAAATTTGGGGACAGGTATGTAACTTAAAATTCTCCCGAGTATTTTGATATTCCAAAGCCTTTCATTAGCTGCTACTGCAGCAACGCTGTAACTCTGTCCGTGGTTCTGAAAACCAACTCCAGTACTCAAAGATTCTAAGTCTTAAACTGGTCTGAAATGTTGTCTTGTAATTTTGATATAAATCCCATTTTAAAAAGTTTTATATCATCCAGAATAAGTGATAGTACCTATGATACAAAAATCTAGGTACTATTTAGGCAATATTTTTTTTCACGGAATATGTAGTATACATGTTGATCAGAAGCCATAATGCTGATGAATCTATTTAGTAAAAACATAATTATCAGTCACACTTTCTTTGGATTTTTATAGAGCATTTAAATTTATCCTTTCTAAGGTATATTGTTCCAGCACTAGTGCTCTCATTGACTAGATGAGGATACCTAAGCCCACTCTTCAGTAACCAGTCCAGAGTTCATTCAGAAGAACAAACTTGGTTCTCTAAATTTTACCTTACTCCTATTTTTACTATACCATTGAGATACATTTGTATAGTTTTTAAAATACATTATTAACATTGCACAAGTAAATAAAGTGACTAGCAGATCAAACAAGTATATCATCTCCTAACTTTTCTGCAAAAACATAGGATCCTGATATAAACTCTCAGGACACATAAATTATGATAACTTTTCTCACATTTTACAGCAAAGCATTCTTAATGGCCAAGAAGGTTGAAAACAGCAAATCAGAGCCTGAGGTGCCAAAACATGAAATACCACTGAAGCCTTACTTAATCATTAAAATCATGAAAATTGTATAATAATTTATGTGATATTTAAATACTTTCTTGTAATATTATTTTTCCTATTATTCTGAGAGCAAAATTTACCCTTTAGGAAGATGTGTCTAATTTATCATGGGAATTTATGTATCTTCAAGCATGCCACCACATGCTCCTATGAACACAATAAGCCTTTTTGAAGACCGTGAGATTATGTGACATAAAATCAATTCACCTCAGCAAATAGGTAATTACCTAAACTGTTTAATATATATTCATTTCTAGCATATAACTTCAATTTTGACTAATCATAAAACAAAAAGTTCAATGTTAATAAGTGGTGCATTTTAAATAGTTATAAAATATATTTGAATTTGGATTTTTAATATGTTCTTATCAAATTTACTGTGGTTTAATTATAAACATTGTCACAATCTTTTTCTCCTCCCTATATTCATGTATTTTGCACTGTGACTGAGGGGATGTTGAAGGGTTAAAGTCAATACAGGACAATGATGGAATACAGGACAATTAAGAGATGGAAGCTATTTTTTTTAATCTTTAATCTGGGCTGACCTCATGACTTACTGATAGAATTTAGTAAAAGTGATATTATTCCAGTTTTAAGTCTAGGACTCAACATTTCTTGATGCTTTTGCTTTCACTCTTGGAACCCTCTCTGATCACCAAATAAGAAAAGTGAATTCAAAATAAAATTTTAAAGTGGTGGAGCCTGAAAGATGCTAATAGCTTTGAGGATGGAGTAGTAAGCGAAAGGTGAGGTCTGGAGATGTCTCTGAGTGTCTCCAGGTTCACCTTACAGTGAAGAATAAGTACTCTAGTTTCTGGAGATAAGAGGTGGCACTGCACATTTTTTCCCTCGATCCATGCTCATCACAATCTACGAGTTACTCAGGAGTTGATGGAACACTTAGAAATGAAATGCCACAGAATTAACAACTTTGACATCTGGGCACCAAATAGTATTCCTCCAGCATCCAGCATCATTGGATGAGGCGTATAAGCACGGTGAAGAGCCAGCTTGTTCTCCTCTTGGATTTGGCTGTGGTGGGCATCTCCTTGTTCTAAAAATCAACTGGAAATAGAGTTCTCTGGTTGGACAAACATTGTTTTAGTCATGTAGCCAGTCACTGAGTTGCTAAAGTAGAGAGGAGGTTGAAATCAGAGTAATCATTTAAATGTGTTTTTTGGAGAAATGACACATCACCACCAGAATGATATTACCAGAGGTAAATAACATAAGATCAGTGGTGGGGGGAGTGATATACAAGGCCCATGAGCAGGTGAGGTTCTGAACAGCTGTGCATGTGTAATGTCAAAACTGTTTCTGTGGTCAGCTAGGGGCACTTGGTGACTCAGGCTGAGCTCAAGATGATCCCAAAGGAAAGTGCTCTGGTTTCAATGGAGATTTCATTGGTTAGTTGATCTTACTATTTCAGCAGGACCTGGAAAAACTTAAATGAGATAGAGATTTTTTTTCATGGGGGTGTAAATATCTGCCTGGCACACATTATACTTCTAAACCAGCTTTCAGGGCATAAGCCAACAGGATCTTTGAGTGAGGAAGGCTTCCGCTCTAATAACAGATTATATGAAATTCATTGCTTTCTTGACATTAGTAACTGTAACAAAGAGTGGAGAAACCAGCAGTCACCCATCATTGGTAACTAGAAAACCTTAGAAATGACAAAATATATTGATAGAACCAGGATCTCCCAAAGTTAGCCTTGCATATCTGCTTGATATACACAAGAGGATCCCATTGTATTGACAGGGTGGCTTGAAATTCCCATTTTGATCTTTACTGTTTCACCAGTAGAAGGCCTAGAAGAAAATGTCTGCATATTTGGAGATCTTTAACCCATTTCCTTCCTGGATTAAAGAGAGAATAAGGTCTAAGCAAAGAGAAAAAGTTTCATATGTGTTTATAGAACAAGAAGGGTCAAAATTGTCATAGAGAGCACAGAAAACCATTTTTATTACAGAAAATGAATTCACATTTATCATCAACAGAGTGAATAGATGAGGGTAGTGAGCCAGAAATAAAATATATGAATGTTGAGATACAAACTGAACCCATAGATGAGGAAGCTAAAGCTGTCAGAGGGCATAGAATATTCAGCAGTGATTTTTTATGTTCCTCAGAATTGGTAGGCAGAGTTGTTGGGTGAGTGGACCAAAAGAGGAACAAACATTTGCACATGAGAGAGCTGAATGATGATGTGTAGAGTTTGAACAATTATGAAGATGGGTGGTATGATTCAGTGTAAATATGAATGGTGCAGAGGCACTTTCAATAGTTTTACAAGTAGCTGAGGTGAAGAGGAAGGTCTCAAATATCTAAGTTCCACCTGCTTGTACCATAATGCTTCTGCTCAATATAAGAGAGAACTGAAAGATAGCTATGTGACCGTGGAAAACCCTTTGAGTTTCACCATAGTATGTACACCTGTCAAAAGTGTTGTCAAATGGATTTTTGGATGGAGGATTTTTGTACTGATATAGAAATATCTGACTCCTATGATCCACTTGGGTTCTTAAAGAACAAGATGCAGGGCAAATATCTATATACTCCCTTGTTTTATAAGTCTGGAAGCTGATTTAAACCTCAGATTGATACCTCAGAAAAGGTAGATGACTTAACAAATATATTACTTCAAGAGAGAGAACTAGAAATCCTACCACCTTATCCTCTAACCAATTTTCTTTCTACTACACTAAATAGGCTCTGACAATGGAAAGGAGGTACAACTCCTTACGGGGATTATAGTAAAAGTAGCCTCATTGCTTTGTTCTGCTCTCTGCGAAGCATTCCGTGTATTTTCAAAAGACAGTGCAACAGGAAGAATTGAATTAAGAAAGTCAGTCTCTGACATTTCATTTTCTTTAACATACAACATACAAACCATTTCATTTTCTTTAACATACAACCAAGCCACTATTGTCAGAGTCTTTGCAGTTGATAGGACTATGTGACTTCTAACCAAAACAATGTAAGCAAAACTGATGTTCACCTCTTGCAGGCCCTTTAATCTTCTCGCGTGACCCTTGATGCTCCCCTTTATTCCTTCTATCCTGGCCAGGTCCAGAGGACCAAGTAGAACATGCTGAAGAACCAGATGGTATCT